AGCAGCGCGGGCCATGGCGGGCAGAGACCTAGGCAGCGCGCTGCAGCTCAGGAGCTCGCGGGTTGGCGCTCGGCTCCCCGCCCCGCCCGGCGCTCCAATGGCCGTTCCACCTCCCAGGCCGGCCGTGGCCCCTCATTGGCCGAGCAGCCATCCCTCCCCAGTACGAAGCCCTCATTAGTTCGGTCTCTCCCCGTGAGGAGAATGTCATTGGCCGTTTATGCGTTCCGCCTCCCGGATGCGAGCATCTCATTGGTTGGCTGCTTGGGCTGTGGCGCAGGTGTGTGCGCCTTCGGATCTCAGCATCAGGACCGCTCAGCTGCGGAAGATAGAGGAATCAAAAACTACCTTTCAGCCTTATGGACTTCCTAGCTCTGGGATGTACCGTTTCCGTGTCTCCTTCCGTTTCTACTTTTATAAGACAGACAGAATAACCCCTGCTGCACTCTCCCAGGTGGCTGTGAGATAATGGATGTGAAACGGTGGAGTTGAACCTGCAAGGATTGGGAGAGCTGACCAGTGGGCTCCTGAAACAGCTGTACACTCCCGGTACTATAGGTTCTCACCCGTGTTTGCAGACTCTGTATAGTTTGTATCAATGAATTTTGCTCCTTCAAAGACAAAAGGGAAGCATTTCATTAATTCTCTTTCCGGAAAGCAGAAAGATGAGGCTAACAAAACCATTTTCATTGTCTCAGAAAACGAGAGCAGCTCAGTGTGGTCGGTACCACACCGTGAAGGACAGATTTCCTCTGGCACAGTAAAGTTAGGGTGAGTTTCAGAATATGGAAAATCTGTAGTGATTCGAAATATGGCTAAGAGAAGAAACGGAAGGCATGAATTCATAGCTAAATTCTAAGTCAGCTTTTGATTCTTACTAGGTCTAATCTGGATCATTACTAATAAAGATGTTGATGAACGAGCATTTCTCTTTTTCTTTCGTGGCGCTGGGGGGACTGACTGACCAGGGCCTTCTGGCTGAACTACATCCTCAGCTTTAATTATGAATCACTTACTTTGCCCACAAACGTGAACTTTGCGCAGGGCCGGTGGGATCATTGCGTCTGTCCCACATGGGGTCACTGTGGGTGGGAGGATCCAATTTCATGGGGCTGTAAGGACGCGGCTGGCTCAGCGGAAAGCCGTCAGGGCCCGCAGTTCTACTACACATGCTGTGTAAGCCTGTTCTCGGCATGATGGGCAGGTCCAAGATAGGTGAGGCTGTCTTTTAAGGTTTGGGTCCGGAAACGAGCAACGTCATTTCTACCGGTTAAACAATTACAAAGGTCTAGAGGTCCAAGTTGGGGAGTAGCTTGGTGGTCTAAGTGCCTGCCTGGCAAGCACAAAGACTGGGGTTTGTGCCTAAGGAGTCACACGGAGAGAAAACATTCTCTCAGGCTTTCACAGAGAGCACATTGGCCAAGCAATGGCCGTGACTCATCCACATGGCTGACACTGACAAAGGTTCTACCATCTGAGGTACAGGATATCAGGATAAATCCTGAGGGGATTTCACTGACCTTCTCAGACCCAAAAGCTCTTGTTGCATAGATCCTGCTTTACCTTGGTCTTAACCATCCAGCAGAAAAGTATAAAAACAAAATATATTGGGCTGGAGAGATGGCTCAGTGGTCTAAAGCACCTACTCGGAACAAGCTTGGCAAAGCACAGGGACCGCGGTTCGATCCCCCAGAACCACATGCCAGCCAGCCCCGCCCCCTGGTGGGCTGAGCTGGCCACAGCAAGCGCAGGGGCCTGAGTTCAATCCCCAGTTCCACTAAAAAAAAAAGCCAAGCCATGTTATGTTGAGCTGTAGGGGACTCAGCTCAACAATTTCTGACATTGCCAGTGAAGTGGAAGACCCAATACTATTATGAGCTACTGGACTCTTAGAATATTTTGCTGAGTTTACACACCTATAATATTCAAATAATGGAACTTAACAAAAAAAAGGGGATACAGATGAATGTCCATTTTGTATCTCTGTATTCAAAGTGGTTAGGATAGATATATAGTTACATTCTCTTAATGAATAGAGGGATTTGTTCTAATGGTGTTTGTAAATAGGTATCAAGTCCGCATCTTGTACAGCAATTAACCACTAGGAAGAATGTATGCAATGTGTTAATTATTGAAACTGTCCTACCAATTTGGTTTGAAACTGTCTCATTGCTATTTGTTTCTCAATAAAATTATGGAAAAAAAAAAAAAAACAAAAACCAAAACCAAAGACTGGGGTTTGATCCCTGGTACTACATGTGGTGTGGGCCCCGGAAACCTGGGCCCGTGGTGCTGGCCACCAAAACTGATTGTGGTGGCGCAATCCCAGCACTGGGGAGGCTGAGATAGGAGGTTCACTGTGAGTCTGATCTGCATGAGACCCTGAACCAAATAAATAAATAAATACTTGAACAAATTTTTTAACAATGTGTCAAGGAATGCCAGAGTTATGCTTTAAAACTACCATAGTGAACTTCACAGCACCAGCAGTTTGGATAGAATAATATACTGATTAATTAGCCCTGGGGATAGGGGAGATAATGGATTATGGAACCAGGGCATACAGGAAGGCCTGGAATAAGAAAAATTCAAAGGGGCTGGAGAGATGGCTCAGTGGTCTAAGGCACCTACTTGGAACAAGCTTGATAAAGCACAGGGACCGCGGTTCGATCCCCCAGCACCACATGCCAGCCAACTGCGCCCCCTGGTGGGCTGAGCTGGCCACACTCACACACACACACATATACCCCAAAATAAATGTTAATAAATAAATAAATTTAAAAAAAATTCTTTAAAAAAAAAAAAAAAGAAAGAAAGAAAAATTCAAAGGCAAGTCTCAGGTAAGGATAGCTCCAAGGAGGTCCGTTTAGCCAGGAAGCTGGATATATGACAGCTAACTGAGAAGCAGAAGACAAGGTCAGATACGCAGAAGCTGGGAAGAAACAGGAAAGTGAAGGTTAGATCAAGGCCCATGGCTAGCGATCTGCTTAGGATGCTTGCAAGTGCAGTAAAGCATGTAAGACAACTAAAGTAAGACACAAACACAAAAAAGAAAATAAAGAGAGACACAGACTTCCACACTGAAGCAGGGTGTGGAAAACATACAGCACTCACTTTGCTTTGCTGTGTTGAGCTCTCAAGTTCCTTCTCCTGAGCACCCCAACGAAGACCAGCAGTCAACAAAGCATACATTTTGAAGCAGGAAGACAAAGCCTCTGAGCAGCTGGGGCTGCTCTCTGCGGATCAGGAGTACAGCACTTTCCTAGCACATGAGGCTCTGGGTTTGATCCTCAGAACCACAAACAAAAAAATCCCACTTGAACTGCAGTTATTTCAAACTGGGTTTTATTAGTTGTTTCTGAGTATTACATTTCACCCTTTGTTTTCCATTTGTCTTGACTGTGGTGTTTTAAGAACCTCTTACTGACTCCTGTCATGAAAGAGCACCAAATATAACACTTAACATTGTAAGAAAACGATTCCTTGTAACAGTAAGAAAAGTCAGTAAAAGATATGGCAAACCTAAGTACTATTAATACACCCAAAGGTCCTCTTCAAGCAAGGCAAGGCTTCCTTACATGTCACCTACAAGCCAATGTCTTTTCACTTTATACGTATAGAGATGAAAATAATTATGAGCATTCTTCAGTCTAAAAAATGTTTTTTTTGGGGTATGTAAAACAACAACAACAACAACAACAACAAAAAAAAAAAAACCCACAAAAAACCCAAAAACCAAAACCAACACACCAGGGCCAAATAGCTCAGTGGATTAAAGTGCCTGCTTCGGCAGATGCAGGGGCTGGGAGTTTGATCGGTGAATGAGACTGGGTGTGGTGGTGAGCGCCTGTAATCCCAGTGCTTGGAAGGCTGAAAAATAGCAAGGATCACTACAAGTCTGATCTGTGTAGTGAGACCATGTAGACCCTGTACTAAATACATTAAAAAAAGAGGAACATAAGTCACTGTAAATTATAAACTTACATTAAAAAAAAAATTTGCTTTGAAGGCTTCTCTTTTTCTTAGACTTTAGAAGCCATAAAAATGCAGAAAAAAATGTGCATAACAAAAATAAATATGAAGGCATGCTGTAGCAGGCAATTTATACATTTCATTTAATCCTTATAACACCATGAAATTATTACTGTAATCATTTTATAAACAAGCTTACAAGAGTGAAATAACTGGTGCCCCCAGTTACATAGGTGACCGAGCTGGAATTTATGCCCAAATCTGCCTAATAAGCCTCACCTCTATCTGCTGTGCTGGCTCCCTGAAGCCCTTCAGTTTGACATGCTTACTACTATAAGCTGTATCTTCTAGTTCTAAACATGCACTTTAAGTTTCCAAAACTACTGAACAATAAAAGAACCTAAAATTATTCTCAATCTACTTGTAGATTGCATAAATTATATTCAATCTACAGGAGGTGAACAGCATTAGAAAACTCTTCAGGTAATCAGAATATTTCACACAAAATTATGTTAGTTCCAGTTCATTGATAATGATAACTAGCAATCACAAAGCCCATGTGGCTAACTGGCTCATTTTTTATTGTCACCATCTGGCCATCTGACAGGAATTAAGGCAAAAAAAAAAAAAAAAAAAAAAGATGAATTCATAGTGTAAATTTGATTGCTCATTAAATTTCCAAAAGAATCTTTTGGTTACATTTTAAAAGTGCACGCTTCCTTGTCCCATGTCCCCCAGCTCCTACACTCTACACAGGCCTATACCATCCTGTCTCCATCTAGTTTTTAAAAAATCTGATGGAGATGGTCATATATACAGAGGATGGCTTTACTGACACGGCTGTGTAATATCTTGTATTTATATCTAGTTGTCTAAGAGGGTAACTAACCATCCCAAAATGTGACTGTAGGAGACCAGTTCTATTGTTCAGGCTGCCACATAAGCTTTGTCTGGCCCTCCTTTGAGTCTCATTTTGTGGGAGTGACACACATACCTATTTAATAATATAGTGTGTGTTTCCTCATCTTATTTCAGTTTAATTCACAGCCTACCCAAGGAAACTTAGAAAGGTGAAGAGAAGCCAGCTTGCTTCCCTATAGGGTTTTGGAGTTTTAGGGGAAGTACTTTGTGGGTAAGGAGCTTAAAGTCATACAATCTGTACAGCCAACAACTAATTGTTGCTGGGACATATCTGCATGTATATTAATCTTAGATGACTGAATATCCACTTGTTCCATATTCAAGTTATTGACATTTTTCCCTTTAGTTCCAGTCCTAAAAAAGACTGAAACTCATACCTCAGAAGCAGAAAGGATAAAATTAGAGTAAGGCTCTTCTAAAATTAAAATACCTCAGACTTCTTTCTAACATCTGACTGATGTATTATTCATTCACTTAAGTCATTTCTTGGACATAGCTTTTACACAGTATGCTACAAAGTAGGACTGAAAAAAGATACATTGGTCCATTATCTACATAAAAGAGGAACTAGATGTTTACACAAATGTAACTTAAAATGGATATAAAACCTAGGAAACAAAAGCTGTTAGGGTTAGAGAAATAAGTCAGGAGCACAGCAAGTAGAAGACCATGGATTTGATTCCAAGCACCACAAAAAACAAAACAACAAAGTCTGTCAGTGCAAGGGAGGTAGTGATTCGTGAATACCAATTAAATACAACAAAAACCTAAACACTCAGCTTAACTGGATGAAATGAGAAACCCGGGGAATCTAATGTTTTTGTCCAGATCACCTTCATAATCCAACATGCATTCCATGGCAAATATGACAAACATGCAGTCAGGGCTGGTGGAATGGGCAGTTACAGGTAATTATCTATATAGACCCATTTGGGTCATTAGCTGTTGGTGCTGCCTCAGTTTGTCCAAAATTATGATATATGTTGGGAATAATTTTCTATTTGCAAATAATTTTCTATTTGAAAGGGATGTATCTTGGATTGCTTGATGCTCTCTGCTTCCGAAGTCTAGGCTGGTCCATCAGCCCTTCTAATTGGAGTCAGAGGGGGTTGGTATGGAGCAATGACGTGAGTACAGAGCCTCGTAGGAACCACAAAGCATGGCTAAATGCAAAATAATAAAATAATAAAATGAGAAGGGAAGTCCTGGGAATCCATGTATATAAAAATCAACCCAAGTGATCTAAATTTTTATATAAATGTAAAGCTAAGTACCCACATGCTGAATCAATCTTTTTTTTCTATCACAAAATACAATATAGTGTACTAATTTCAACAATTCATTGAAGATACATAGTTAAGAGAATTTTGGATTCAAAGTCAATCAGAGTACCAATTTAAAAATAACTTTGTAAACATATCTTGATAAAGGCCACAAATGCCTGATGACAAGATTTCTCATGAGACCAAATGGGTCACATAAAATCAAAAGTATCTTAGAAATAAAGCCAATGTGACTATATCCAAAACAGATCACATGAAGTACCTCATGTACAATACAAACCTAGATTAATAAATAAAGGAAACACAGGTGACTGTGGTCTGGGAGGACATTCTGTTCCTGACGGCTTGCTCATAGTCTTTTCTGAGACTCCACTGCCACTTCCACCTGGGCAAGTCTAATAGTGCGGCCATGCAGTTTGTAGCCATCTTGCCTTACCAATGCCACGGTGCCAGGCTGTACCCCAATATCAGCAGGCACGTGACAGATGAGTTCATGCTCATGAGGATCATATTTGTCACCAATGGGTGCCATCTTCTCCAGACCATGCTTGGTAAATACACTTTTCAGCTTTGCTTCTAAAAGTGACAGCCCTCGGAAGACTTTCTCCAGAGTGAGCTTCTGGTCCCCAGCCTCCGTTTCTTCAGAAATGCACTCAGTAGTCTTCTCCAGAATGTCTGCCACCTCTACCAAGTCCTTACAGAAACTTTGGATTCCTACCGAAAAAGCAGACACTTATGAGGAATCATTCTGCCTTTAGGGATGAAATCTGGGGCAGGCCCAGATAGATAGTCAGTATACTTTACCCTGGTACTCCAGAAAGTGAAAAGACAGTCACACAGGACTGGGAGATCACCACTGCTTACCACCCCAACCCAAGTGACCAATTAGTCTCTTTCACAAGTTACAGATGACCAGGAACCCTTTAGGAAATGTGGTAGAAGGTTAGAATCCAAAACCTAGATTAAATTTACCTACAATAAGCTAAAATAAAAAAATAAAAAAAAAAAATAAATCTATCTTTTGAGACAGGATTGGACAATACAGTTTGGAGTGGCCCTGTGGTCACTTCTGTAGCCCCTAGGTTGGTCTCAAATTCACGGAAATCCTCCTGTCTCAACCCCCGAGTGCTGGTATTATGGCCATGTGCCACCACACTCAGGGTGGCCACATGGTGGGAACCTGGGAATCTGGGGCCAAGATCCCATGGCACGCAGGGCCAGGGACTGAACTCGGGTCCTTCTGCTTGCCAGGTAGCTTATGCTTCTGAGCTATCTCCCTGGCCCTCTGAGCTGTTAAAATTACTATTTTTCTATTTCTTGCATTTTTGTTGTTTAGTATTAAGTTATACTTTTTTTGCGGTACTGGGGATTGAACTCAGGACCCTGTGCTTGCCAGGCAAGCACTTATTCTACTGAGCTATCTCCACAGGTAAGTTATAAATGTTTAAAAATTCCTGCCTGTGTCACTTGTGCTAAAGCCACATTTTCTTTTTTGTGGTACCAGTGATCAAACTTGTGACCTTGTGCTTGCCAGGCAGACACTTACGCTGCTGAGCTATCTCCCCGGCCTTACAGCCACATTTTCAACAGGGAAGGTATTATTAATTCATGGGAGATAGAAGGGGGTAGCAATAAAAAAGGCAACACTATATTGAGAATGCTGAGGGTTGGGGAGACAGTCCAATGATATAAGCACCTGCCTGGCAAGCACAACAACCTGAGTTTGATTCCTGGTACCACATAAAAAAGAATGTCACAGGGTGTTTATTTTCTTTTCTTTTTTTTTT